GAGGAGAGACAGAGAGGAAAATCTTCCGTCCGATGATTCACTCCCCAAGTGATCGCAACTGCCGATGCTATCCGAAGCCAGGAGACTCTTCTGAGTCTCCCACGCGGGTGCAGGGTCCCAAAGCTTTTGGGCTGTCCTCGACTGCTTTCCCAGGCCACAGGCAGGGAGCTGGAAGGGAAGCAGGGCTGCCAGGATTAGAACCGGCGCCCATATGGGATCCCAGGCGTGCAAGGCGAGGACCTAACCACTGCGCCATCGCGTCGGGCCCAATACAGGTCTTCTTACAACAGGAAGGCCATGTGATGTTCCTAACGCCTTTGCAGGGGGAGGTACTGAACAGGTGGGAGATAAATGGCACTGTCCTGAGAATCTGTTCCCAATGTGTATAGTGTTTTGCTGTGGATAAATGTTGATAGCATCTTCTCTTGAGGCTGATGCCGGAAACTGGGATTCAGGCCAGGTCCCCCGCACAGGTGTCAGGAACCTGATCAGTGGAGGCATCCCTGCTGCTGCTGGGCGTGCTTCAGGAAGATGCAGCCTGGAGCTCGAGCTGGGTACCGAAGGCAAGCACATGGTGTGAGTCAGGGGACCCTTAACTGGTATCTAAACTCCAGGCTGAACCATCCATGCCTGCGTGTCTCCCCTTGTGAGAAACAAAAGGTCATTGAAAACATCACAGATTGCCTTCCTCCCCCTCCAGGGTGACCCTGGGCTGGGTCAGCCCACTTTGCTGATGCTTACTCTAGCTTATGAATATACGCAGTACTGGTCTTTTAAATCAGATGGAGATCACGTGCTGTTTTTAACTTTTCCTTATGTGAAAGCAATAAATATATGCCCAGTATGAGAAGTTCCAAATTTTATAGGAATTATGGGAAAGTTAAAGTACTCTGCAGTGATGTGTTAAGCCACTGTTCACCGTATGGCAGTTTTTCTGCCCCTGGCTTATCTTGCACATAATAGAACTGACCATTAATAGAGCTGCTCAATATTTTTTTTAATGACATTTATTTTTATTGGAGAGAGAGAAAGATGTTTCCATCCGTTGCTTCACTCCCCAAATGGCTGCAACAGCCGGAGCTGAGCTGACCTGCAGCCAGCTGCCAGGAGCTGCTTCTGTGTCTCCCGTGTGGTTTCAGGGTCCCAAAGACTTCTTGTAATGGCCCACTGCTTTTTCGGGCCATAAGCAGAGAGCTGGATTAGAAATGGCAGCTGGGACCCGAACCAGCCCATACACGATGCCAGCGTCAACGGGGCAGGCAAAGGCTCCGCCTGTTGTGTCACCATGTCAGCCCTGAGCTGCTTAATATTAAATAATGTCTTCCAGAGGCGGGGAATGCTTCAGATTCATGTTCCCTTCACATCCTTAGTTCTTTGCTGAAGAATTTTCCTCATGTGAGAAAAGAACAAAAATGTGTCACAACAAAGGTTATTTGAAGTGGGCTTCTTCAGGGAGACCCCCGCTTGTTTTCACCTTGGGAGCAAGAGTTCTTTAGGTTTGGTTCGATTGCTGCATCTGATAGGAACAGCTGCTCACACAAAGCAGGCGGCCCTGATGCACAGCTGGGAAACTTGGAGCACATATAAGACAATCACAGGAAGTCTCCGTATAAACTTCTCCACGCACAGAAAGGTGGTTTTCCCATTTGCCCTTTTCTGAGCAATTTAACTTCCTAATTCCACGATCCAAATAGTTTCAGAGATTATGTAAGCCATATGTTTATTAAGTGATGGAGACAAACACGGGGAAGTCTGATTCCTATCAGCTTGCCTGAGGAAGGGGGCGAGCTTCCCGCTAGGTTAGCCTGTCCTAGCTGGGTGTCGGGCAGCAGGGCCAAGGCGAGCGGGCCCTGAATCACTCCCTGGGCGGTCTTCTCCCTCCTCCTCCTGCAGCACGTAGTTTAACACCGCGTTAGGCTTCCAGGTCAGGGTGAGAGAGATGGCCAGGCATGGGAAGAACAAGTCTCAGTTTCCAACAGCTTCACGTGGGAAAGCGTTCGTGGTTCTCATGAGACAGTCTGTTTGAGGGTGCATGTGGGAGGGGGAGGCACGGGCTTCGGAGTGAGAGAATCTGCAGTTTTTATTCCTTTGGGTTTGAATGGAAGCTGACAGCAATAAATCATCGATTTACCTCACTGCTGCTCAGCGGAGTCACTAAAAGCGTCGGGAAAGGAATGTAAACAACTATATGATTCGTTTCGTGGTGCAGAAGTGTACTGGGTTAGATAAAATAATGACTGCCCTGTTTTGGAAGCAGAAGCTTACAATGTGGGAAGAGTTTCCTGATGAAATGAAAAGGCTTCACAGATGTGTGGGAATGGATACGCAGGGGGGGACACGCAGGAGCAAGATGGCCACAGGTGATCTGAGCTGGACCTGGGAAAGAGCAGCGGCCACCGACCGGGTCCAGGAGCCACCGACTGGGTCCAGGGGCCACCGACCGGGTCCAGCGGCCACCGACCGGGTCCAGCAGCCAGCCGCTTGCGCCCTCATCAAGGGCATTGCAGCGGTGTTGCTTAAGAAAATGGCTAATGGACTATCCTTTCTGGTTGCTTCTAAAAGACACACTGCCTTGATGAAACATACTGGCTACTGTTATTTGTATTGAAGCAACCACTGGGGAAATGTAAACCCTGAAAATTAAGAGAATGAGGGGGAAAGACTTACATAGCTCAGTTACATTAATTTACTCAGGTTCTTATGAATGCTTTTCTTGAATTCTGTCATGGATAATAGAATAGGGAAAGCCACGTTATGCGGAAGACTCCTAGGAACTGGAGTCATCTAAAATATAACTTTGTAGCGTACCCATGTCTTTGGAAATACCTGTGAGATATAAGCATTATTTAGAGACCTGCATGAACCTCATGTTTAAAATGTTAGATCTCTGATTTCTGCTTCTGCCAGCATCCTTGTGCCAGTTTGTGTACAGGCTGCTCCACTTCCCAGTCCTATTCCATACCTATAGCCTGGAAAACAAGAGAGGGGCCCAGGTCCTTGGGACCCTGGACCCGTGTTGGAGACCTGGAAGAAGCTCCTGGCTCCTGAGTTCAGACCAGCTCAACTGCAGCCACTGCTGCTTTTAGGAGGGTGAAGCAACAGCAGGAAGACCTCTCTGTCTCACTCTCCATAACTCTGACTTTCCAAGTGAAATACATAATTTTTTAAACAAACAAAAAGAAGACTAACTGGGCCTGGTGCGATGGTTCAATGGCTAATTCCTCACCTTGGACACACCGAGGATTATATGGGTGCCAGGTCATGTCCCAGCTGCTCCACTTTCCATCCAGCTCCCTGCTTGTAGCCTAGAAAAGCAATGGAGGACAGTCCAAAGCCTTGGGAGCCTGCACCAGCATGGGAGACCTGGGAGAGGCTCTGGGCTCCTGGCTTGGGATCAGCTCAGCTCTAGCCTGCTGCAGCCGCTTGGGGAGTGAACCAGCAGATGGAAGATGTTTCTCTCTGTCTCTCCTTCCCTCTGAAAATCTGACTTTCCAATAAAAATAAATCCTAGAGAGAGAGATTAATCGGAAGGTACCGAGAGAGGATAGTAAGAAAAAATCCTGAATCATATTTTTCTTTAGTTTTCTATGTTGTTTTGATACTTAGTTTTTAAAATGTTTGTTTTCCTTCTGGGTTCTGTGTTACTAAGTGCATTTCTAAGTTGTCTACACATCATCAACCTTTTTATACTCTGCTAAAAAAAGACCTCCTTGTTTCTAGTAAGCATGGTCTCTTAAAGACATAACCGTATTTGTTTATGAAGTGTATTATTCTGCTTCCTTCTTGTATAAATATCACGTGTGCTTTGGTAAGTTTCATTTTGTGTATAAAAAGCAATTTATACCTTGGGTGTGGATGTGCTGGACGTTATATAGTCTTAGGAGAGGTCTCGGAAACTTTTTGTCCTATTAATTTTCCAATAATACAGTTTATTATCCTGGTAACAAGTGAAGGTAATAGTTTGCTGTTTACTGATAGCTGTTTGTTCTTTTGTAATGGTGGAACCTTGGGAAACCAAATTTTGGAAGGAAGAGTTACAAAGAGTGGCAGGGGCAGATTTGCAACAAGAGATAAAAACAAGTAACACAAAATCTTGAACAAGGTAGCTGGTTCTGAAATCCCTAGTTGTGTACGACTGGGATTAGGATTTTTCTGTCCTCTTAGCTCCCCTGAACCCATACATTTGAATTCACTGTTAAATAAGGTTTAAAACAAGGTATCTGCCATTTCCAGCATACATTAGAATTTTGTTACATATTTATTCAATTGTTTAAGTTACACATAGAGCTCTTCCATGCATAGCTAGAAGGGTACACATGTGGAATAGAGAGAGAGCTGCCTCTAACCGGGTTTGGGATTCGCCAGGTACAACCAAAAAGATGAAGGTGTATGTAGAAAAAGGTTATAATTAAGGATACAAAAGCCTGAGCTGGGTAATGAGATATGTGTGAGCCAGAAGACATGATACAGATGGGGGGAAGATAGGATCAGTGACGTGCTAGGAGCTGGTTTGCTTGACAGTTGTTAGGGCTGGGTTTCGCAGGAGGTGATTTGAAAAGACCAGGTATAGGTTAGGGAGTGGTGTGTTCGTCCCGGTTCCGCGTGGCCTTTCCGAGACCGGGGAGGTCCTGAAGCCCAGAGCATCGGTGGGTTTCAGGTGTGTCTGCCCATTCGCTGCCAGGACGCATGTTCGCATGTTCGTCTCACTTGTAACAACAGTTCCCAGATGATCCCTCATGAAACAGATGGTTTCCCATGCTTTGAAATTGCTTTTGTACCTGCCATGCAGTTCTACTCTACGAAATAAATAAAAATAGCAATGAACGATGGAGGTTAATCCATGGAGGTTAGATTAATTCAACAGATTCCAATTTATATTTTAAAGTTGTTCCGTCCTTCTTTCCTAGCCCCTGCCACTTTCCCCCCTACAAAAGCTGAACCCGACACGCCACAGTCCACTCCACTGAATGACTGCCGTGCTCTTTCCCCTCCCCCTATAGTGAGGAAAGTTACAACGTCAACGATTACTCCCTAAGAGATCAGCTGCTGGTGGAATCCTGTGACAGCGAAGAGCCTAATTCTCCGGGGAAGAACAGTTCCACCGTGCTTTACTCAAGACAGAGCTCCACGAGTCACCTCTTCACTCTCACGGTGCTGAGCAACCATGCCAACGAGAAGGTGGAGATGCTGCTCGGGGCGGAGACGCAGTAAGTACCTGCGAGGGAAGAAGTCTCGGGGCAGCGGAGGTCTGTCCCCTTCGCCTCACGCCCTCATGTACGGACTCCCGCCACACGGCAGCTGCTGTTTGTTGTTGTCAAGTGCCTGCTACGCACCAGGCATCCTGCGTGGATGGTTTAAGCAGGTGTTACACGTCATCATTTCATCATGACTGCCTCGGTAACACAAGAAATGGGTATTGTCACTGCTGTCACTGCATATGCCGTGATGTAGGTGGTGAGTTAAGTGAGTTAAGAATCGTGTTCTTTTTATGATTAACAAAAAATGCAACCCCCAGCCTTAAGGGATGTGACTCAGTCAGCCGCTCGACTCATTGGAAGTGATCCCTCAGTCGCCTGCTTTCAACCAGAAACGGAAACCCTAGCGATTTCTGCCACAGGATGCTTGGTTTAAGGAAACATACTGATGAGCTCTCTCCAAGCTAGCGTTTAAGCAGAGGCAAAGCAGGCATCCCGTGTGTGCTTGTAGCCTCGCCAGCAGCTGCCGAGCAGTCAGTCCCCTCACTGAGCGGAAGGGGTGATTCCCAAGCCCACCCTAGGGATTTAATGTTTGGAACTGACACGATGGGCAGGTGTTGTGTTGAGTGTCATGCGGAGGTGCAGCAGTGGAAGGAAAGCCCAAGCCCCCGATTCCTTGTCACCTCCACTTCTTCCTTGAGTCTCTCTGCATGTTTGTGAGCTGGGGCACATGCAAGGCCAGGGCTCAGCGAAGGCATGTCTTCAACTCAGAAAGCAGCTTGAGGGCCTAGTGCAATAGCCTAGTGGGTAAGGTCCTTGCCTTGCATGTGCCAGGATCCATGTGGGCACCAGTTCATGCCCTGGCTGTTCCACTTCCCTTTCATCTCCCTGCCTGTGACCTAGGAAGGCAGTAGAGAATGGCCTAAGACTCCACCAGCTTGGGAGAGCTGGAGGGAGCTCCTGGCTCCTGACTTTGGATCTGCTCAGCATCAGCCGTTGCAGCCACTTGGGGATTGAACCAGTGGATGGAAGATCTTTCTGTCTTTCCTTCTCCCTTATGGATCTGTCTTTCCAATAAAAATAAATAAGTCTTTAAAAAATTAATTTAAATTAAAAAAGCAAGTGGCTTTAACATCTGGCCAGTGCAAACAGAGCTAAACTCCTTTTTGGGGGGGGAAACTTGCCTTAAAAATGACATTGATGGGGCCTGCATTGTGGTGCAGTGGGTTAGACTGCTGCGACTGGCGCCAGCATTCCGTAGCAGAGTGCTGGTTTAAGTCCTGGATCTTCTACTTCCGATCCCACTTCCTGCTAATGCACCTGAGAAGGAGCAGACAGTGGCCAAGAACTTGGCCCCCTGCCCCAGTGTGGGAAGTCAGGCTGCTGATGCAGGCCCTGGCTTTGGCCTGGCTCAGACCTGGCTGGCACAGCCCTTGGAGGAGTGAACCAGCAGACAAAAGATCTCAGAAGCTCTGTTTCATTCTTTGTTGCTCCACATTTAAAACAAATAAATCTTTCAAAAACAGAACTTGCTGTGTCTGAAATTTGGATCTTATGGGACGTTGAGAAAAATCTTTTAAAATAAAGATTTATTTATTATTTTTGTGAGAAAGTCAGATTTACAGAGAGGAGAGACAGAAAGATCTTCCATCCACCGGTTCACTCCCCAAGCAGCCACAGCAGCTGGGGCTGAGCTGATCCGAAGCCAGGAGCCAGGAGCCAGGAGCTTCTTCTGGATCTCCCATGCAGGTGCAGGGTCCCAAGGCCTTGGGCCATCCTCTACCACTTTCCCAGGCCACAGGGAGCTGGATGGGAAGTGGAACATCCAGGACATGAATTGTCACCCACATGGGATACTGGCAATGCAAGGTGAGGATTTAGCTGCTAGGCTACTGTGCTGGACCCAGAGCTTGAGACAATCTTAAACACTTTGGAGATTAGTCCTTGTCCGGAAACCATCGAGAATTCTCAGAAACCACATTAGTGGTGGCAGTGCGTCTGCCTTTGCTCACTGTTTTCAAGAATTCTGTGTTCTTCTTTGAGGCCTGACCAACACATCCGAACTTGCCTGTTTCCTCATTCCTGACAGAAACTTGGCTATGTGTGTTTTAGACTCTTCCAAAGGGTGAGCTTGCATGTCTTTCTGCTCCAAGGTCTCCCTTCCCCAGGTACTGTGTAGTTAAAACTGTTCCACCCCTTGCATTTGGTTCTTACTGTGGACTAAATGACTGTACATTTCCTCAACCAACTTGTTCTCAGGCTATTCAGTCATATCACAGTAAAACCATGGCATGACTCATATTTGTAGTTCTGTAATAGCAAGAGAACATTCCAGAAGGGCCAGGAGCGCAGAGGTCTCTGTGGGTACAAAAGGAGTGAATCTCATTCTCTTTGCTCATCCACTCGGGCCTTTAGTTAGAGCTGAGAAGCAAATAAACAAACAATGCTTATGCAACATGAAACAGCGTTGCTGTTGAAATACAATTGCAACCAAGGAGGCAATTTCCTTTAAAAAATAATCCTGCTCTTTAAAGGCCTAACAAATTGCTGTTTGCTGCACTTGAAGGTCAGCTCTGGGTTACCAGGTACTGAACCATCAGGGCTTTGCTTTGTGTTCAGTACATTGTCCTGCTGAGCTCTGTGAAATGCATGGATGAATATATGTGCTTTGAGCTCTCATTTATGATTTTTGGGGGGCTGATATGGTCCATCTTTAATCTAGTTTGGAAAACAAGGTTTTCATGTGTACTGGTGGAAGTACAGAGGTGTAGACCGTCATATATGTATGTATGTTGACATATGTATGTGTATGTGATTATATATATATATCACCTTTGGACGCTTGTTCCTTAACCTGAGGAAGAGTGGGGTTCACACCCAAATGTTTACTTTTTGAAAACATGTTGCCAGTTAAGTGCATTCCTGGGAATATACCGAATATGAAGTGAATCTTAGGAGAAGTTCAGCTGTTTGGCACAAGGGCAGTTCAGCTTCCTAAGAGTGAAATTGTGGAAGAATAGACCGATGGCGTTGGTTCCAGAAGGAATGCAGGCATGCTCACCCAGAGGACGCGGGGCAGATACTGGCTGAGTTTCTGGGATGTACCAGGCGCTGAGCTGGCTGCACAGCGTGAAGAAGGAAGCCAGGGCACTTCCAGGGAAGGGAAGATGCTCAGCGCTGAGGGAAGTGGACAGGTGAGGTGACCCGTGCACCTGGCTTTCAAGGGTCCGTCGTCTATGTATTTTCTGGAAAAATGATGAGCAACACCCTTTTTAATCCTCAGAAGTGTTCAAACCATCAAATATATGCTGACCCTAGTGGCATGCTCATGTACAATTTTGATAATATGGATGTTATAACATATACACATGTATGATTATACATATATAGCCCAATTCTCCCATTATTTCTCTGATGGGAACTAAGACTCACAGAGGCAAGGTTATTGGCTTAAAAACCATGCCAGGAGTCGTGGCCGCAGCCGGAGCTGGCGCTGGCCCCCCGACGGGGAGCACTCTTCTTGCAGCTATGGTTAATGGTACGGAGAGGCTGCCCAGCGGTGGACAGTACCACCCCTGCCTCGAGCTGCCTTTCTCAGCGTCCCTTCTGAGCATCCTTGGTTTGCCTCCGACTGTGACCGTGTCTTCCATCCGGGCTGAATTCGGTCTCCACCACGCCCGCTCGTTGTACCAAACACGCAGGACTCTGCAAGCAGAACCGTGAAAGCCTTTCAGGTTTTCCAGCGTGGAGACCTGGTGTCACTGTTGATGCCCGCTCTACCTGTGCCCGAGTCCGGTGTATCTTCCCCCACATCCGCTCCACGAGCTCGGCAGGATTAACCACAGCACGCCGCTTTGGCTCCCCTGGGAGGGTGCTAACAGCCCTCTCCTGTCAGTGCTGCGCTGGCCCCCCCCCCGTCTCGGGGCCATTCCTTCCTTCGTTGCTTTGCACAACACATTTTCCCAGAAACTATTTTGGGAAGACTTCAAATTGATAAAATGAGCTTTGCTATGACCAAGACTAGGTAGAATACTCTTGAGGGAAGTACTCCTTTCTGTCAGTTTCTATTCGCTGCTCTTTTGTTGGAGTCAGCTTTCCCCAAATTCCATTTTTGTTCTCAACTTTGCTAGTAAGGATGTGGTGAAACTTTTTTTAGAGTATGCATCCAAGCCGTGTTTACTGCTCTGTGTGTCTCTGCCGGTTATAAATCTTGAGTCATTGTGTTGCTAACGAGACAATAGTCTGTGAAAACTACAAAAGCTCACCCTTCACAGAAGCTCGGAAGGGGAATGTTTTACCACCGTCGTGTCTTCTCCCTCTGGGCCTTCCCAGAGCGGTGTGGGAGCCAGGGAGCCGCATTGTCTGTGTCGCTGGAATGCAGCGCAGGCAGCTGCTGCTGGCACGGACCACAAGGCAAGCCGTCCTTGGTGCTCTGTACTCACAGCAGAGTGTGGGAGTCATTCAGGGCCAGTGTAGACAGTGAAAAGCAGCGTGTTAGATGTGTTCATGGATGAACACAAGTTTTCTCTCTATCATATAAACTAACTATAAGATACGATCATCTCAGAATCGTCAAAGATCTGATTGTCACAGGGCTAAGATCCTGATGAACATGGTTGGCGCTGTCAGCCATGCAGCCAGCCAGTTCTGGGCTCCTGATAAAGGGGCATTGTTTGCAGGGAGACTCTGCACTCTTCCTGTCCAGTTAATGATTTAATTAACAACAGGAAGTAAATGGGGCGGAATGCAATTAGAAATGGTATCTCTGATACAATCATAGACTTCCATCCTTTGAGAAGAGTCACAATATAGAGAGCCTTGCGGGGAGAAATGTGTTTATTTCGGGTCACAGTGTTTTGATTTCGTTGCTGAGTCTAGAATCTGAATGTGGGGATTGTTACGTTTCTCTGGGGTCTCCTAGGGTGCTTGTCTTTCGTCATCCTTATCCTCGACTTCCATTGCATTGATGGACAGAAGGGGGCCTTTGATCAGTGAGAAAACAGACAATTGAC